TAGATAGATAGATAGATAGATAGATAGATAGATAGATAGATAGAGGCATAGATAGACAGATAGATAGAGGCATAGATAGAAGCATAGACAGATAGATAGATAGGTAGATGGACGGATGGACAGAATCTGCCATCTCATGGCTTCTGTTTACTGCCTTCTCTATTTCTGTCTGCTCTTTACATGTCCTTATATGTCTCACATTCAGATTATCCAAGAGAAAGAATCTTCTTAGAAAGCATTTCCTGGGGAGAGTGTCCCTATTAGGAAGAATTCTGCCAAACCACTTTATAAACTGCTAATCAAAGCGTGGGTACCAAAACCTTGGTCTAATCTAATCTGTTGTGGACAAGATGGTAGAGTAACATGGTCTTTACCTAAAGGACTCTCATCTGAAGGCTGTAAGCCTGGCTGTCACTCTTACGGTACTGCCTGGTACAAGAGAGCTGTAATATTTTGCTAGTCTTTGCCCCTGCCTGAAGTACAGATACCCTATCACCGAGGATGCCATCAACCTGAATGCCATCGTGAAAGGCTCTTCATAGCCATTCCTACTCAAAGGAAATTCCTCTTTTCCTTGTCTGTATATTTTGAAAAGCATACCAACTTATTAGAAATAAATCTATATGTAATTATGATATAACAGAGATGTTATCTTTTTCAAATAGATATGTAGATACATACAGTTTTTTGTTGTTTAGGAGAGCTCATCCAGATTCATTCTCTGCACCTCAGTTTTTCATTTTGGGGTTTTTTTGTTTTGTTTTTTTTTTGAGACAGGATCTCACTCTGTCATCCAGGCTGGAGTGCAGTGGTACGATCATGGCTAACTGCACTCCCAGGCTCAAGCAATCCTCCCACCTTAGACTCTCGAGTAGCTGGGACTGTAGGCACGTTCCATCACACTTGGCTGATTTTTGTAGAGATGGGGTTTTGCCATGATGGCCAAGCTGATTTCAAACTCCTGGGCTCAAGCCGTCCACCCACCTTGACCTCGCAAAGTGTTGGGATTACAGGCATGAGCCACAGCACCCTATTTTCATGTTTTTTGTGATAAACGGTGATAAAATAGATCATCATCATAGCATTATTGTGAGGATAGATGAAGTGGTACATGTAAAATACTTAATACAATGTCTAGCATATTACAAATGCTTGAGAAGTGGTTGCTGCAGTTGTTTTTACTGACTGAGACATGGACATAATCTCATTAAAAGTAATCAGTGTTAATGATACTCATTTAAAGATACCCTGCTTATTTCAGTTTCCAAGGTGTCTGTTAAGCATCTCCATTAGAAAACATACAAATCTAAGCAAGTGTTTTTATGTCTACTCGTTTTGGATGAAGCACATTGGGATTTTTTGAAGTTCTGTTTTATAAAATATGTAGCATATTCACTTTGTTTGGTAGTTGGTTTAGTCCTACCTTGTAGTTTTAAGAGAAGAGTAGGAAATGCTCCTACCCAGTCTCTAGCACCACAGCTGCCTGTGACCACCTGGCATTACCATTACATTTCCAAGAACTCCACGCCTACACTGTCTACATGGCAGTATTGTTACTTCTGGATTCCTAAACTGACATTTTCTAGATATCTAGAACAACTCATACACAGTGTAACAGTGTATTTTATTCCAGGTCTGAAAGACATTTCTGATACTTTGTCATAACTCCAGATAATTATTCTTGTTTACATTTTCTAGGTTTGAAGAAAAGGCCCAAATGGATCCCCTTAGTGCTCTGAAGTATTTGCAAAATGATCTTTATATAACTGTGGATCATTCAGACCCAGAAGAGACAAAAGAGGTAAAGAAAGGTGGTAATAAATTTCAGAAGTTGCATTTTTAAATGTCTTCCTAACATATTTAATGATTTTGCTCTTGAGTGTGTAAAGGAAAATGAAGAAAATATGATGACATCAATAATCTTTAAAATGTCACAGAGCCGGTGAAATAAAAATTGAATAGGCATGTTTTCATGTGATAAGATTCAAGTCACCAAAAACCCTTGGTCCATTCAGAAAAGGATTATCGGGTATAAAGTTTTAACTTAGTTTTGTGTTTTGGAAAGCAAATAGAAATTTTTACTTTGTCCATAGTCCCATGATTATTTTACTTAAGGATTACATAATGGTTCAATATAAACTTTTCTGTTGATAGTTTAGATCCCCCAAGAGAGGAAAGAAAAATCCCCTGTTGCTTAGGAAGAAAATGAGGAGAGATTGGTGGGAGTTAGAATCCTTGGTGCCTTAATATTTAGTTATGTGAATGTTGTAGCAGTATAGTTTGTCTATAGGCTACTAATTTCATTCATTCCTAGTTGCTAAGATTGAGAAATCAGTTAGCCAATAATTACTTTTCAGTTTTTTGTTACATAGCATTGGGATAGAAACAACTGTTTCTAAAGATTTTATATCCTTAAGAACATGTTTGCTTATCCATGGTGTGTGAATATGCCTGCAGTGATTTTTGTGGTTTCATACGCTGTCTTTCCGCTAATATCTGAGATTCTTTTTGTCATTTTTTCCTTTTGCCAGCTGTCCTTGTTCATCTAGCAATATCTGAACTGCAGTGCATTTGCCTTCCACTCACAGAATTTGTGCTGATTATATGTAGTTCTGACCCTTAGGTCTCTTTCCGTGTTAGCTGCTGCCTTGCTTTGGCTTTGTAATAGCAGTATCAAGCTGTGCCCGGCATGCTTGAGCATTGACACAGGTGTCAGATTTAATGTCGAATCACTTTCAGGCTCCAGGTTTATTGTACTTTCAAGCAACAGAGGTTCCATGCCTTCAGCACCATAACAAAGAGATACTCTTTCATAGTTTTGTACTATAAAATTAAGTCCTAAGTCTCTCGATATTGATTACAGCCCTTCACTAGGTAGAGAATCTGCAGAACATACTTTAGAACCCCCATGAAGGAGGACAGTTAATTGTCTTTCCTTGAGTCTTCAGTCAGTTCATGATACTGTGCAAATAGGAGAAATAATTGTAGTTTTGCCAAGTGGCAGAATATGTTTGTTGTCAGTCAATTGATGATACTGTGGAAATAGGAGAAATAATTATAGTTTTGCCAAGTGGCAGAATATATTTGATTTAATCTTTTATGACTTATAAGTGTACTTAGTTGTGAAGAGTCCGTTAACGTTAATTTTGTTAGGCCATACATTTGAGAGTTATGCATAGATTTCCTTGTGTTTTCTCCATATTCTGTGTAAAATGGCTGTAACTGGGAACAATCATTTTTTCCTTATTTTTTGAAGCCAAAACAAAATATTTCAAAGTAAATAATTTCAGCTGTGTGAGCTGCAACTAGGCCAAAGAAAACAAGACAGTTTGTTCTTAAAGTTAAACTGATGGGAAAAAAACAGGACAGGGAGGTATCTCAAGTTCATTTAAGCCATTTTTAAAATTTTGGTAGCTGGTTTCTCTTTTTCTTCTTTTTAAAGTAGTAACAACTTAGGAGTTTGTATGCCACCAGCTTCCATTCCATTTCATAAAAGCTTAATCTAGCAAGAGTTGGTGAACCCTAGTAGAAGTTAGAAAGAAATGGTAGTATGTGTGTGTTGTATGTGTGTGTGTATGTGTGTATGTTGGCATCAGAATCACCCCACTTTTTAAAACAATGCCCTCACACTAAGATTCTCTTCTGTCTGCTCTTAAAGAACAGAAAACAGAAAACATTCCTGACATTGAGAATAACTGGTCTGTAATACTATTATTTTGTTTTAATGTGTGAACAGATTTGACTTTTAAAATGTTTTATATCCAACAGTCCGTTTGTGGGGAAGAAATTCTCTGTTGACAGTTCCCATGTATACTGATGATATTTGTCAGTGAGGCATGTAGATCTTCACTTTCATTGTAGGAAATCATTCCACTCATTGAGAAGGGCCTTACTGCTCTTCATTTCCTATAGTAACTTGTTTTTGTTCTGTTTATATGTTTTACAAAAATTTCATGTTATTAAATGACTTTCTCATTTAAGTCTCAAAACACGAGAAGTGTTTTTTAGATTTTTTTTTTCACGGTTGTTATGATCATCATCATTGTGCCTGTTGTCAGGACATTGACAACTATGAACTATGTAACAAAAAAATATTCTTTGCTTCCTCCAGTCTTCAGAACATGGGTTCTGAATTGGTGATGAACTTATAATAAATCTTATAAAAAATATATTTTTTTCTAGAAAAGGCTTGAGAAAAGGATGCCTAAGTCAATTATACCACTTTCAGAGAAGACTTCTGTAATAGAGAAGGAATGAGAATAAGTTTTCAGCTACAATAACACATTTTGTATTCATTACACTTCTGCAGAGTTTCCACACTACTGGTGTCATTCATTTAACAGATGTCTATCGATTCCCGATAATAGTTCAGGCATTCTAGGCAGAGGAGCTATATCAGCAAACCAAACAAGATCCCTGCCCAGGAGGTGCTTACATCTTAGTAGAGAAAGACAATAAACATTAAAGAAGCAAATTATATAGCACATTAGAACTGAGTAAGTATTGGACCAGGCACAGTGGTTCAGCCTATAATCCTAGCACTTTGGGAGGCTGAGGTGGGTGGATCACCTGAGATCAGGAGTTCAAGACCAGCTTGGCCAACATGGTCAAACCCCATCTCTACTAAAAATACAAAAAATTAGCCGGGCATGGTGGCAGGTGCCTGTAATCCCAGCTAATGGGGAGGTTGAGGCAGGAGAACCACTTGAACCCGGGAGGTGGAGGTTGCAGTGAGCCGAGACCGTGCCACAGCACTCCAGCCTAGGTCACAAGGAGTTACTGAAGCTCAGACCAAAATAATGATAGAACGGTGAGAAGTAAAATAGAGCAGATTCTCAATATATTTTAAAGATAGAACCAACAGAATTTTATGATAGATTAGATCTAGTGTTTGAAAGAAATGACTCTAAAGTTTTTGGCCTGAAAAACTGGAAGGATGGAGTTACTATCAACTGAGGTGAGAATGTTCTTGGGGGAGCTGGTTTGTGGGGACTCCTGACTGGCATTCAGGAGTTTAAATTTGGAAATGTTCAGTTTGAGATATCTATGACACAGCTAACTTAAGATGTTGAGGTGACTGTTGGATATTTAAATCCAGAGTTTGGGAAAGAGGTCTGTAATATCACTTGGTATGTGTTAAAATCCTTAGGCCAGTACATACAGTTCCACTTATTTAATCAGATTGTTAAGATAATAGTTTTCTCCTTATCCTATATGTAGAGCCAATAAAATTTATTTTTCACCTTAGGCGTTAGAAAAGAGGAGCAAATTCAACCCCAAATAAGTAGAAAATAAGAAATTCATGAAATAGGAAACAAACAATGGAGAAATGTTAAAAGTGAAAAGTTGGCCTTTTGAAAAGGTAAATAAATTGATAAACCCCGAGCAAGACTTACCAAGTGTATTAGTTTGTTCTCACACTATTGTAAAGAACCACCTGAGTCTGGGTAATTTATGAAGAAAAGAGGTTTAATTGACCCATAGGCCCACAGGCTTAACAGGAAGCATGACTGGGAGGCCTCAGTAAACTTACAATCATGGCAGAAGGTGAAGGGGAAGCAAGCACCTTTTTCACATGGTGGCAGGAGAGAGAATGACAATGAGGGGGGAAGTGCCACACAGGTTTAAACCACCAGATCTCATGGGAACTCACTGTCACAAGAACAGCAAGGGGAAAATCGGCCCCTGTGATCCAGTCACCTCCCACCAAACCCCTCCCCCAATTCAACATGAGATCTGGGCAGGGATGCAAATCCAAACCATATCACCAAGAAAAAAAGTGAAAACATAAATTATCAACATCACAAATGAAAAGAGGGCATCAGTATAGACCCTACATATATTAAAAGTAAAGTGGGTATGGACAACTTCATCGACAAATTCAGCAACTTGATGAAATTGACAAATACTTTAAAAAACACAGTTTACCAAAACTGACACAAGAAGAAATAGAAAATCTTAAGGAAGTCCATATCTACTACAGAGATTACATTTGTAATAAAAAATTTTCTAACAAAAAACTCTAGGCCCATAATAGCAGTAAATTTTATCAACCATTTAAAGAAGGAAGAAAAAAATACAATTTTACATAGACTCTCAGAAATTAGAGGAAGGTGATACTTCTTTAATCCTTTTATAAAGCCAGGTTAACTTTGATATAAAATCCCAACAAAAGCAGGGCATGGTGGCTCACGCTTGTAATCCCAGCATTTTAGGAAGCTGAGGGGTGGATTGCCTGAGCCTATGAGTTTGAGACCAGCTTGGGCAACATGGCAAAAACCTGTCTCTACAAAAACATACAAAAAATTAGCTGGGTGTGGTGGTGCATGCCTGTAGTCCCAGCCTCTGGAGGCTGAGGTGGGAGGATCACCTGAGTTCAGGGAGGTTGAGGCTGCAGTGAGCTGTGATTCTACCACTGCATGCTGAACTTTGGCGATAGAGTGGGATCCTATCTCAGAATAAATTAGAATAAAATAAAATTCCAAGAGAGACATTACAAGCGAAGAAAATCATGGACCAATATTTTTCATGAACATAAATATAAACTTCTTAGGAAAATTTTAGTTAATTAGGAATATATTGAAAGGTTAGTGTACTATGACTAAGTGGTGGTTTATTCTAGGAATATATGGCTAGTTTAACATTTGAAAAAAAAATTCAGTGTAATTCACCATGTTAACCGAATGAAGAAGAAAACCATAGATCATCTTAGTAAGTGAAGAAGAGCATCTAACAAAATTCAGACTCATCAGAATAAAAATTCTTAGCAAACTAGGAATAAAAAGAAACTTCTTGTATCTAAATTCCTAAAGGACACCTGTGAAAAACATACAGCTAGGACTATTCTTAATTGTTAAACATTAAACCCTTTTCCCTAAGATTGTGACAAGGAAATTATTATCAACCTCTCTATTCAACATTCTACCAGAATTACACTAGCTAGTGTAATAAAGAAAAAACAATAAAAAGCATATAGATTGGATAGGATAAAGTAAATTTGCTTGCATTTGTAGGTAACATGATTATGTACATTCAAAACCCCATGGTGTCTACAAAACAATATACTAGGACAAGTGAATTTAGCAAGATGACAAAAATACAAGATCAGGAGAAAAAAAAAAGTAATTATTAGCAAGTATTTTTATACTAGCAGAGAACAATTAGAAAATGAAAAGCATAGTTTATATTAGCAAGAGAAATATCAAATGGGTAGAATGAGTCTGTTGTAAGAAATTAAAGAAGACCTTGATAAATGAAGAGATATATTTATGGATTGAAACGATAAAAATTGTTTAAAGCTGCCCGTTTTCCCCAAATTGGCCTTTTAATGCAGTGTAAATTTGGTTTTTATTGTTGTTGTCATTGAGGAAATAGACAAACCACTGTAAAATTTACATGGAAATGCAAAGGTTTTAGACTAGCTAAAACAATTTTGAAAAAAGAAAAAATTGGAAGCCTTATACTATCAGATTTCAGGACTCTACGTAAAGCCCCAGTAATCAAGACAGTGTGCTACTAGCTTAAGGATAGATAAATAGATCAATACAACAGAATAGAGTCCAGAAGTAGACCCATACATATGTGGTCAGTTGTTTTTTGACCAGGGTGCCAAGTCCAACAGGGAAAAGAAAGTTTTTAACAAATGCTACTGAATAACTGGATATCTCAAACCTTTCTCACTCTTTACTGAAACATTAATTTAAGATAAAATCCAGAAGAATAAGACTTTGAGAAGAAAACAGGAGATTATCTTCACAACATTGGGACAGGTAAAGATGTCTTGGACGTGAATAAAGGCAGTAATTGTTGAAGAAAAATCTTGATAAATTGGACTTCAAAAGAGTTAAAATTTCTACTCATTAAAGGACTACTAAAAACATAAAGAGATATTGCCAGATTCAGTAGCTCACACCAGTAATCCCAGCACTTTAGGAGGCCTAGGAGGAAGGATTGCTTGATACCAGGAGTTTGAGACCAGCCTGGGCAACCTTTGAGACCTCGTCTCTACCAAAAAAAAAAAATCAAAAAATGAGGCAGAAGGATTGCTTGAGCCCGAGAGGTCAAGGCTGCAGTGAGTCATGATCACGCCGCTGCACTCCCACCTGGGTGACAGAGCGAGACCCTGCCTCAAAAAATAAATAAATAAATAAATAAATAGACAAGCCACAGACTAAACAATCCTTGCAGTAGATATATCTGACAGAGGACTGATAGATACCCAGAATACATAAAGAACTTCTATGCATTTTTAAATTTTTCTTTTTACCCCCCATTTTCATAACTCTTGCTTAGATGAATACCTATGGAATATTTGTACAATTTCTGATTCATCAGGACCATTCATCAGGGCTTACAAATGTTGGTATGATTTAATACCTGAAATGTTAAAGACTGCAAACATATATGTGAAATATATCCTGAGGAATTGGCGATATTAACTGCTCAGGTCTTGGGAAGTACCCAGTAACTCCATTGAGGAGTTTGTCTGCTTTAATTCATTCCTTTAATTTGCCTCTTTTCCTGCATTCTCATTCAAGATAAATATAAATAGTTCTCCAGATTTTTTATTTTGTGTCTATTTGTTAAATTGCTTATGTTGCAATAGTTTTGTCTTACTCTGTTTCTTCATTGTTAAATTACATTGTCTGTTTTAAACTAACTTTGACAGCCTGGAAATCTAAGCATCATTTACAACATTATGTCCATTAAAAAAGGCCTTTGGGTTTTAACAACGTGATTATATATAATTGTGGAATCTCAAGCTAAGTTGTAATTTAGAAATGGTCTATACATGATTTTTTTCCTCAGATTTTGATTTACACAGCTGAGACATCAGGTATTTTACAGTGGCTTACATTTATTTTGAGATGAGAATGTGTATATGCTAAAAATTCGGTAACAGAGCCCAGGGCACCAATCTGATCATATCTGTTAGATTCAAATGACAATTTTCTTTTTTATTTTATTGTGCTGTTGTTCCTTAATAAATACATACTTTAATACATTTTAAAAATAAAATAATTCCAGGAAATGGCCCAGTATTTTGGAAAATGATAATAGCAGCCTGATAGAAAAGTCATTGTATTCTGTAATCTGAATGTGTTCTTCTTGCCACTATTTGGTGAATAGACCTATGTCACACATATTCTGAAATATGTAGTTGCTGATAAATGGTCAAAGTTATAGAAGGTTATTTTCCTTCAGTGCACTTAGCCATCTAATTTGCTGCTTTTTTTTTTTTTTCTTTCTTAAACAGTTTCAGCTCCTGGCATCAGCTCTATTCAAATCTGGTTCAGATTTTACAGCTCTAGGTAAGTATTGCAGTATAATTTATCCAGCTAGATGCCCTAGCATTTGGAAGGTTGGATCTTGGTTTCCTTTACATGAAACATCAGGTGAGATGTTTCAAACAAATAGATGAGCAAATGAAGTTTCAGGGTATCATGCAAAATTTCTAATAACCTGCTACAAAGTTACTTTCAGGTATCATTTATCAGTTCAGTTTGCAATGACTATTATACCAATTGCTGTGTTAGTATGCCAACAGATAACAATAGAAACACAGTCAAAATAAATTAATTTGTATAGCACTGCTTGGAATGTAGGCTGTATTACTGATACATACTATGAGATAATACTTGTTGATTAAATAGTTTTTCTTCTCAGTTTGTTCTTTATGGAATTGTGTGTCACCAGGAGAATAGCTATGGGGTAGGCAATGTTTTGGGAGCACAGAAGATAGATTATCTCTTTCCTAAAAATGAGAATTTTGTTATCTTAATTGTTCAAGATAACTTCTAGTTGAAACTCAAGTTTTTCTCAGACACTTTAGTCTTCGTTTAGTAATACTGTCATTTAGTATTAATGAATTATTAACTAGACTGTAGGCCAGGCACAGTGGCTCATACCTGTAATCGTAGCACTTTGGGATGCTGATGCTTGAGCCCACCAGGAGTTTGAGCCAAGCCTGCGCAATATAGTGAGACCTCGTCTCTACAAAAAAAAATTTAAAAATTAGCCAGGTGTAGTAGTGTGCTTCCATAGTCCTAGTTACCCAGGAAGTTGAGATGGGAGGATCACTTGAGCGCAGGAGGTAGAGGCTGCAGTCAGCCAAGATCATGCCGCTGCACTCCAGCCTAGGCGACAGAGAGAAACCTTCTGTCTTTAAAAATAAAAAATAAAAAAAATCAGCTAGGCATGGTGGCTCGTGCCTGTAATCCCAACTAGTCGGGAGGCTGAGGCAGAAGAATCGCTT